TAATATTCATTACCAACCTTTACAAGTGTCTATGATTATATGGCGAACACTTTGTTTTGTTCGAATGTAAGTGGCACCACACTTACTATTCCTATGAGGTTTCTGACCAATATCCTCAACAGCAGTAGTTGGGTGAAAGTACTGCAGCAATATAATATGATAGTGATTTTGCTCATGATCTATTATATGCAGGCAAAAAGACACACAAATTTAGTAGGAAAACAATAAGTTCATTATACCTTGTAATTCAAACAGTCGGCGAGAAAACTTTGGATCTTCACTATGCTTCCAATATGTACGCTTCAACATGTATATAGAGCTTCGTAACACAGAAGGCTTTCTTGATCCAAGACTTGTGAGACGATTGATTTTTCCATTTGATGAAAAAGAAACACTAAAGTAACTTGTCTTCACACCTCTGTTGTTCCAGGACCCAAGGTCATCAGCACGAACGTCACTGTGATGAGAAAGCATTGAAGAATTTATTATAAAAGAAGAACTGGTTCTACAACCAATAGGTTGTTTAGAGCACACCATTTTTCTGTCATGATCGAAAAAAAGATGCATAACTGTCTCAGCAGAGTAACTAGGACACTCAGCAATAAAAGGTATATTCTTATCACTATCAAAGTATCTAAGTTATGAAGAAACGTGTACTACTACAAAGATGTAACTTGAATACTTTCTTACTGTATGATTAAGTCTTTCTCATCTGTAGTGGCACAGCTGGAGCCCTGACTGCTATCAGTCCTGACTACTAACAGTAAGATCAATAACTTCCTGTGTGGGTGTGACTTCAGTAATGGCATCATCTAAAGTCCCTGAAGAGTCATCCATTGTGTCTTTCAGGGGCGCCAGAGGACTTGGAAGTAGTGGTGGTGACCATGCATCATCACTCCAGTGCTCTGTCTCACAGGTAATACTAGGAGAATCCCGCGCACTACAGTAAAAAGAAGTGATCATACTCGTTTGGGCGCAGGAGCTGGCACTTACTCAGTCATGCTACAGTGTATCTTAACTTGATACAAGGTGACTATAGATAAACCTAGGCTTGCCTGGAAAGATCCTAGGATATTGTCACACACAGACACGCTGTCTCACACTCACTGTCACACTTATTTCAATATTTTCAGTCCGTTTTCTGGTCCGTATTCCAGTCCGTTTCTGGTTCCGTTCCGTCTTTTAGTCATGTCCGAAATCACCACTAATTTTTATTACATGGTCTGATGCACATTGATGTCCTTATGCTGTGTAGAAAGTTATGGCCATTAAGAAAATGCCAAAATTTTTGAATAGTACCCAAGGCTATTATAGTCTTGGTAATTTTATATCGAGTACATGTACATGTATAGTTACATGTTTAACTCTTATACAAAGCTTTTGTCTTGGAAAAGATATACATGTACATTTAATTACATGTATGCCATCAAATTTGAAAGTTATATTTGTATTAGGCCCCCAAGCCCCAAAAGTTTATTATTAACCTGAGACTAGGGGCCCCTTTATTTGGGGGCCTAGTGCTAATTCCCCCTGCCCCCTCCTATTGGTAGTCATGCATGATGTACATGTGACTAGTAATGTGTTATCTTGTAATATTTTATGTAGAAATGTTCAGCTAATGGTACAGGATGTGGTGTTTGTCATTCAAGGGATCTGTTGTTCAGGTTTAGTGAAGATGTGGTTACATGTCCTAACTGCTCCTCATACTTTCACTGGTAATTACATGTACATGTACATAATGGACATTTGATGTGTCTAAATTTTGTGCTTCATAAATCATTTTTTAATTAGCTACCTAATGCAATTAAAATTATCCAAACTAGCATGTTTCTGATAATTTGAAGTTGTGGCATTTGTTGAACTGCTAAATTTTGGTGTGTTTTAATTTGTGTCCATGTCCCATTGAGCATGTACATGTGTACATAATGGTTCATAATGGTGGGTTTTATTTTGGTGAATGGCTATTATCAAAATGCCAAATTCACCAAAATTCCCTCTCCAAAATCACACGTTCAGATATTTAAAAATGGACATTATTTTACAGTATGTGTCATGTATTAACCTTCTCTTTCCTAAGGTTATATCAAGTTCCTGTTAAAGGTTCAAGTACATTAGGTATGTGTCAATATAATTATAATTATTGTTCTCTGTTCTAGTGTGGGCAGCAATGTAGTGCTGCCTCCACGTGACACTGCCTGGGATCACTAGTGGCTACTACTGCTAGTGATGCTAAGAGCACTACATACAAGAAGAATAGATACTAACAGTAACTATGTATGATGAATTACATTCCATTGTTAGGTTAATGACATTAAGAGGATAAGTACAATTCTCTGCTATTGAAGACTACATTGAGAAGTATTCTAAGTATAGTATTGTTAATATGTTGTCATTGCTATAGGTTAATTGTTTGCTGTTTGAAGCTGTACATTAACTGAAGACTATAAAGAATTACATAACATTATTGTTTATAATTAATTTTAGCATTTTTGTTTAATACACAACATTGTCTTTTTATGATTGATTATTATGAATTTTGATTGAAATTATTGCGAGAGCCATTAATGCAGAAGCAGGTGCAATGACTTATAAACAGAAATGAGATTAAATCATGAAAAATGACAATAAAATAAGAAACACACTTCAGCCATACATGCAGAGTACAAGTCAACAATGATTTTAATTAATTAAACCAGTCTTATAGTGTTACAGTCCTTAGTTCCTAAACCCAGTCTATAGATCTTCAGTATATGAATGAGAGATCAGTCCTTGAGATGATGAGTTCAGACTCAGGTCCACAACCTATAATAAATGTGACCACAATTGACAAAAGGTACCTTATGGCGGATTTTAAAATTCATCATTATGATGAAAAATATCAGCCTGTGAGTGCTCTGTTAGTCAACAATTGTTTCTAAAAGTTACATAGTAACTTTTTGCATTCTCTGGAGCAATTTTATGATGAATGGAGCTCAGGAAGTAGGATTTTTAAGGCTATAAAGACCAATTTTCCTATCCGCCATAAGGTACCTTTTGTCAATTATGGTCACCAATAATAAGAAATGATTAATAATAATTTTTTGAATGAATAACATAAACGGAGTTGATTCAAACAATTATTTGTTGACTTATAGCCATTTTAAAAGTGCATGGTAAATTTTCAAAAAGAAGCAAAAGAAACACATGCTAATAGTCCATGGTTTTCTACAAAAATCATGCCAAATGAATGGAGGGAACACAATAACAAAATAGATAGTAATTTCAGCAACTTAAAAAATTTAGAATCAATTAACTCAAACTTTCTACACAGCATAAATACATGTACATGTATATGCATCAGAAAATGCAATAAAATCAAATTTTGATGAAAATCAGCTCAAACGTTATACACAAAATAAGAACTTGTATAAGTATCATAAAGTGCAATAAAATAAAAATTCTCTCCTTTTCAATTTAGGCTGTAACCCAGTACTATAATACAGTGACTTTTAGCCAATTTTAGAGCAACTTTAAAAATTTATAGAAATCCATTTTGGTTGAAATCAGCTCAAACTTTTTATAGAATAGAAGTACATGTATTTGCATCATAAAAATGCAAAATTTCCTCCAATTATCATTAATTTGGCGAAATTTGGTTATCCTAGAGTACAGGGACTCTTAACCAATTTTAAAGCAACTTAAAAAATCTATTTTGAACAAAATTAGCTCAAAATATCTAGACACAATATGAATGCATGTATATATGTATCAGGACAAAATATAAAAATGATAAAATGAAGATCTCTCTTCATTTTATATTGAATTTTATATTCATTTAATATTGGCAAATTTGATAAATTACCGGCCCACTATATACTCATAAAACATTTCATTTAATTATAATTGATATTATCAGTAACTAAAGTCTATTCAGTTTCACCTGACCTATTGATTTTTTATTATAACTTTTGATACACATGGAATTTAGAAATTTTGTTTGCATCATTAGAATCGCTAGGTCCTTCTCGTCCTTTAGATAAAAGATCGGGTCAAAATGATAAGGCCTTAGCCTTTTTTGGATGTCCCTGTATAAACTCAATGACATACCTTTGACTGCAACTATGCAGCTAGAACAGCCAGAATAAATTCAGATGCTACTTATCTGCATCTCTTCCACGCAACAAAAACAATTCCAAAACCACAAATACGTAAAGAATGCGGATATGAAGTAGTTATTTATTAATTGAAAAAAGCCAGGGGTCAGATGAAAGTGAATAGACTTTAGTTAATATGTACTTCATTGTGAACTGTCTGAATGTTGCCAAGTCATGCCTACAAATCACTGTCCAGTTAGCCCACGTGCCTCTAAAATGGTGTATAAAATGGATCCTAATAGAGATGTCATGATTGTTGAATAGTATATTCATTCCAATGGATCAGAGACTGACACTGAGTATTATTGTTAAGTCTTCAGAGGATGATATCACATGCAGTCTTTATTGAAGCACAGTCAACCCACGTGTATTCACGTGGGTAGATCTAGTCCACACCTACAATATTGTTGTCGGACACGCCCTTAACCTGCTGACTTCAGCTTCTCGACTCTCATTCACTTCTTTTCTCATTTTCTTTCGCTCTCTTTTGTGAAGAATGGCTACTGGTTGGACTCCAGTAAGTATATACTATCAATAAACTATATAATTAATGTATTGTAAATATTGTGTTAGTAATGTACTGATACAATGTATAGTACTGATAGTGTACTGTTGGTTAATGTGTGTGGGTAGATCTACATGTACATGTATATGATTCAATTGATGTAGTTAGTTTGGGAATTGTCCCAAATTTCAGATATAATGCTTTTGTCATGTCTTGTACTGTACATGTACATACAGTGTACTGTATTATGCTATGCACAGCTAATGGCCTCAGAGTTATTTTTGCTTTGAGACAGTAAATTTTCCATATTCATTCAGCCACTATATACCTACCATCAATGATCCATTGGGAGTGATACATTAATTTTAGTATAATGTCAATAATATTACTGCTTTATATTTTCATTTCTGAGAATTAATGATTGCAACATAATTTTTTTGTGCCGAATTTTAATTTTAGATAAAAAACACCCAAAGGAAATTCCCCACTATATACTACCATCGCCTGTCCAGTGACAGATATGACACTATATCATAGATACATGTACATGTACTCATTGATTCATTGACAGTATGTACATGTATAGTCAGTAGTGGGAGTATACTAATAGAACAATATCAATGAGTAAATATCTTTACATAAAAGGACTTGTAATGAGTACAAATTTCCACTTGATTAGATTCATTCCTTATTAGTCTCACATAGCCAGTCCCTCCCTCTACAAAGCAAGGGTCTGGTCTATTACCATACATTACCTCATTCATCTTTCAACCTTACTTCTGGTGGAACTACATTGAATAACCTCATGTGTATATTATGAAGATTGAAACCTCCTTTTTGGGCCAGGATTAATTATTATACTAAGCATAATTGAATTTCCTGGAATTTAATTATTGACAAATTGTGTTAGATGATGCATGAAATCCACTAAATTAGGAATACCAGTAAACATTAGTCCAGTGTATTGTAGATAGTATAATGTGTTATCAGAACAATGTCAGTAATGGGACCCTCATCTAGTAGTGTAGTAGTTTGTATCTCTTCCACTGGGTATTTATGTAATATTGTCACTAGGTGTTCCTCCTCTTACTACCCTAGTCCTAGTCCTACTTATGTGTCCAGTCATAGATACTCAATGATTCAATGTATACTAATACACCAGACACACTCTTTGTAGAGGGAGGGACACTCTCTTTCCTTATAAGGATATACATGTACATGTACTGTATTGCAGGATTTATTGGTGAGGGATTAAATTTATCAAGTCCTTAAATTACAAGAATACTCTAAATTGAAACTCACAAATTATTGTCAATTATTAGCTGCCACGTGTTAGGAGTTAATGAAGTTACCAAAATTTAATTGGCCAACCTATCAATTTAGACAATTCCTCCAAAATTTCTCAGCGTCAATAAATACTCTCATATGTTATACAAGTACATGTACTGTAAATGAATGGCTCAGTTGTTTTGTGTATTTTTCCATTAAAAGTTGTTTTTATATGTACATGTATTGTTTATGTGTTGTTTATAGTCGGTTATTGTCACTGGTTACATATTCTGTGGATTTTGTGTTTGAATGAGATTATGTGATAATGAGACATAGGAGTGATTAATATTACTATTATAATAACTGTTAATAATACACTCATTCACTTGTTAATACTGTAGGACCAACAGTTGTATGATGCTGCTCGAGATGGAGATATTGAAGGAATGAGATCTGCCCTCTCTAATGGGGCTGACATTAATTGGAAGATACCCCCAGTAAGTGTATGATGTAGTGACTAGTGTATTAGTATGACTTGTATAATGTAGAAGTACCTGCAGTTTAGTTATAAATCAGTTTATTATATTAATATTGTGTAATTACCGTATTTCCTCATGGAAGGACCTAGGCATTTATTCTTATAGAGACCCTTTTGCTGGGTGTTTAAATGAAGTAGGTGTTTATATGAGGATAGACATTTAAATTCATTGCCAAGGAGTCTTCTTCTATGAGCTTCCTTCTCAGCTACAACTGCTATGTTGCCTGTAGTGTGTGCCAGTAACCATGTGGGGAAAGTGGGTATGGCATAGGCATCTAAACAAGCATGGGCATTTATTGTCAATGTTTTATGCTGTCTCTAGGCATTTATACAGGTACGGGCATTTATTGGGAGTAGGTGTTTTCATGAGGAAATACGGTATGTTCCTCAAACACTGTATTCTATTGATTAGTTACTGGTTGAAAATTTTTTGATTTTATAAGAACTGTATAATAATGGTGTAATAAATTGATTTTATTTATCACTTTGTATGTACTTTACTTGTTGTGTTTATTTCTTATAGGGTAACTACACTCCATTACATGCAGCAGCTAGAGGAAACAAGGCTGATGCTGTCCAGTGTTTAATCAGTAAAGGGGCTGCTATTGAACCTAGAGATCTTGTGAGTTGTATATTGAATGATACACACATTATTACAACATGATGTAATGTAGTACATGCTAGTTGATAATAAACCAGTTCCAATACATGTTTTTCTTTATATTTATTTGTGTGATATTCCAATATTGTTTATGTATTAGTTTACCTTGCATGTTGTAATTTTTAATGTGATAAAATTTTGTTGTACATATTTTTGTGAGGAGTATACTGTGCCATCATGAATTACATGTATAGTACATGTATTTGAATTATGTGTAAACATGTACATAATACATGTACAAGTAGTATGATCTTTTGATATTTGTGTATAATTACTTTTAGTTTAGAGTGTGTTTTATTTATTTTATTAATGTAGAAATTCAACAATACATGTGTACAATACATTACATTACAATACATTGGCCACACATTTTATTACAAAATTGATGTTTTGTTGCTAGTTTGAATCTTTACCATAAAGTAGCTTACCGTATGGGTACAAAATAATAATTTATTTGCAGTGTTAAATTTTCATGATTTTGTGAAAAATATTAAATTCACTAGTAAATTCTCTGTCTGTCTCTGTCTGTCTCCCTCTCTCCCTCCCTCCCTCTCTCTCTCTCTCTCTAGCTGTCTCTAAATTTCCCTCTCTTGGTCTCTGTCTGTCTGTCTGTCTGTCTCCCTCCCTCTCTCCCTCCCTTTGTGTCTGTCTGTCTCCCTCCATCTGTCCGTCCATCCCTCCCTCTCTCTGTCTCTTTGTCTCTCTCTGCCTCTGTGTGTCTGTATCCCTCCCTCCCTCTCTCTCTCTCTGTCTCTCTCTCTCTCTCCGTCCGTCCCTCCCTCTCTCTGTCTCTAAATTTGTCTCTCTCTGTCCCTGTCTGTTTGTCTGTCTCCCTCCCTCCGTCCGTCTATCTGTCCCTCCCTCTCTCCCTCCCTCCCTCCCTCTCTCTGTTTCTGTCTGTCTCTCTCTCTCTCTCCATTCATCCGTCCCTCCCTCTCTCTGTCTCTAACTTTGTCTCTCTCTGTCTCGTTGTCTCCCTCTCTTTCTCTGGCTGTCTCTAAATTTGCCTCTATTGGTCTTTGTCTGTCTGTCTCTGTCTCCCTCCCTCACTCTCTCTCTCTCTTTATGATTTTGTGAAAATATTAAATTCACTGTTTTTAAATTAATTATCCTAGTTTTTATTAATAATTAAAAGCCATTAAGAAGTCATATAAAAAATGTCACAGGGTTATTTTAAAAACTAAAAACTTCCTCAAATGAGAGAGAAGACAGAATTTCATGAATATAATCCTTTTGTGAGTGGCCCATACTTCTTCTGTACATGCATGCTTTGATGACCTGACCTCTAGTGTGACTGAAACTTTTGTGTTTCTGTGTAAAAATTAATAAATGTTCATTTTGGGTATAACACATTATAATGAGTATTAACATTATTATTATATTAGACTACTACAGTACACAACATGATATGAGACTTGACTGTGTAGTGTTAGTGTCTTTATTATCCTGTCTTCTTTTTATAGAATGGATCCACTCCTCTCATAGACGCAGCTGTATATGGAAGCACACAGGTAGTGACAATGCTCCTTGAAAAAGGAGCTGATGTCACTGCCTCTACTGATGTAAGTATAATCATTAATTATACTCCAATAGTGATTGTACATGTATATCCTTTTGAGTGGGTGGATCAAAGTAACCGCAGGTGCTGTATATCTCATACAGTGTGTGTACATGTACATGTATAGCTTAATGTACTCTACTGTATCACTTTATGGAAAGCATTTTTATTAAAATAATTATTTTACGTCAATAATTTTTGAATTTAGTAAAGCAAGAAACTTTTGTGGATTGAAATTTTTGAAAATGTAATATTAATAAATTAGTAAAAAATATAGAAAAAATTAAAATTTAGAATTTATTTTTGGGTGCCGATTCTCAAAATTTTGAATTTTTGATGGTAATGACCATTTGATTTTTAATTTTTTACATTTTTTAATTAAAAAAATTGAGATTCTTAATAATTTTGAATAAAGTATGGAAATAAATTTTCTAAATTGTTAAAAATTTTTAATAAAACATTTGCTTTGTGTATCATTTTTCAAAATTTAACGTTTCAAAACAATTACATTTCTACATGGTAATACTTTATAATGTTACATGTATAATAGTATAATAATGTCAGATAGACTTACAAGAGGCCAGTGGGCATTGACATTTTCTTTGGTATGGAGGACATACTTAGAATGTAGTTATACTGTGCATGAATATATAATGTGATCCACCCACTCAAATTGATGTAATTATATCACTTACCTACTGGGGCAGTATCTGATTTACAGACACCTCCCACTAGGACACTATGGTCCCTTGTGGTCAGTGTCTGTATTGACATCAACTTCAATTTTTGAGTTAAAAAATTACGTGTACATTAAAAATTTAAGCACCTTGAAATATTTATCCCAGTCATGAAGGTTTCTCAAACAACATGTATAGTAACTGAGTTTATGGCTATAACCAAGAACATTTTATTGATACTGCAACAGTGTAAATATACATGTACATGTACATGTAGACTAGTAGTATTGTACATGTAATTATTTATATCAGTAAAATGTATACTTGTACACTAAATGTACCTCCACTGTCTCTAACATACTCAATACTATGGAGTATTGAAGACAGACCAACAATTAAAGTTGGTTTTTAGTTTGATTGTGATAACATTGTACTATCATGTTAATCAATGTTTACCTTGTATAGACTGGTAGGACTGCTCTTGATTATGCTGAAGAAGTACATGTACGTCATAGTGACACTGCCACAATACTGAGAATACACTCAGGTAATGTATTTATTAGTTTATTGAACTGATGTTATTATACTGTATGTAGTACTGTATTGTTAGTAAATTTTATGAAACAGCTTGAGTCATCAGCTACTGCTTCCTCCCTTACCATGTGTAAATTATTGGACTCGCCACGCTTGCGTAGGCGGGTACTAAGCAGTTGGGTTGTCATTCTGTCATTCTGTCAACACAGTTTAATTGATTTGTAAAAAAATTATCTTTTCTTCTGAGCAGTCTAGAGCTCTATTTCTTCTTCTAGCAACAGACTAAGTTGCTTTCTTTCATCTAGTTATGCTCTTGTAGCATCCCGTGGCACCAAAAGCTGTGAACTGCTAAACTAGGGGACCTCTCTCCAGGTGAGAGCTCGTGTTTCACTCTACAGAGCCGAGATTTGCTTCAGAGGTAGAAAATCTCATCTAACGAAAAACAAAAAGAACGATTTTGTCCTAACTTCGTTGTTTGTGAGTTACAGTTGCTATAAGTTTGTGATTTAGCCTCTGAGAATTTTTCAGGCGGCACTGGGGAAAGCA